TCTTAGCATATCAATTATGCTTTCTTTTTAAGTTTCTTTAAGAAAAAAAACTTTTTAAGGAGATGGTTTTCCTAAATTGAACATATTGTTGCTGTTATTACTATTTTGAACACATTGTTTTCAGTTAAAGAATAAGAAAATTTAAAGTTTATATTTTACCTTCACTTAGTCATTCCCTGATGCTGTTCCTTTCTTTATGTAGATACAAGTTTCTACTCTACATCATTTTCCGCTCTCTTTTAACATTTCTTGTAAGGTAAATCTACTGGTAACAAATTCCCTCAATTTTTCTTTGCCTGACAAAATATATATGCCTTTATTTTTGAAGGATAATTTCACAGGGTACTGAATTCTAATTTGGTGGGTTTTTCTCTCATAACACTAATTATTTCACTCACTCTCCTCTTGTTCTCACAGGTTCTGAGGGGAATTGGATGAAATTCTATCTGCTCCTTTACAGATAAGGCACACCACCCTCCCCCAGGCTTCTTTCAATAATTTTCCTTTATCTTTGCTTACCGCTTACCTTTGGCATTTATACTGCTTGTCCTCTGAGCTTCCTGGATCATTATTCGGTATCTGACGTTAAATCGGGGGAAATTCTCAGTCATTATTGCTTCCAATATTTCTTCTGTTCCTTTCTCTATTTCTTTTCTGTCTGGTATTCCCATTACACATATATTATACTTTTGTGGTTTTCCCATTGATCCTGGATATTCTTTTCTTTTGTTTTCCAATTTTTTTTCTCTTTGCTTTCAGTTTTAGAAGTTTCTATTAATATATCCTCAAGCTCACAGATTCTTTCCTCAACTGTGTCCAATCTAGTGATGAAACCTGTCAAAGGTATTCTTCATTTCTGTTACAGCATTTTGAATCCCCAGCACTTCTTTTTTATTATTTCTTAGAATTTCCATGTCTCTACTTACAAGAACCACTTGTTCTTGAATGTTGCCTACTTCTAACGCTAAAGCCCGTACCGTATTAAGCGTACTTGTTTTAAATTCACAGTCTGATCATTGCAGCATCTCTGACATACATGGGTCTGCTTTTGATACTTGCTCTGTCACTTCAGACTGTTTTTTGCTTTTCGTATGCTTTGTACTTTTTGTGGAAAGACAAACATGATGTACCAGGTAATGGAAACTGTGGTAAGGAGACCTTTAGCAGTGTAGTGGTAAGGCATGTGGGACTAGGGAAGGCATTCTATATTTCTTTGTTTGTTTGTTTGTTTGTTTTGAGAGAGAGAGAGCGCGCGCTAGTGTGAGGGGGGAGGGGCAGAGAGAGAGAGAGGGAGAGAGAGAATCCCAAGCAGGCTCTGCACTGTCAGTACAGAGCTTGACACGGAGCTCAATCTCATGAACCATTAGACCATGACCTGAGCCAAGATCAAGAGTTGAATCCTAACCATCTGAGTCCCCCAGATGCTCCAAGCATTCTATGGTTCTATGATTAGGTCTTAGTCCTGGGCTTTGAACTGTACAAGTGCTTCCCATTTTTTTTCACCCCCTTACATGGTACATAATGGATAGAGGGGATCCCGAGTTGGTATGTCCCTTCCTTGCGTGGAAAACCATAGAATGCTTGATTTGGGTATTTCCCTCCCCCACTAATTGGTCAGGCTCGGAGAAAACCAGAATAGGTTAGGCTCTGGTAAAATAGTTTCTCTTCAAAGCAAACGGCTAAGAACTGAATGCTCTGGCATGTTTCAAAATGGTTACTTTTTTCTTCCCACTGAGGAAGTGCAAAGGTGTTTTTCTCCAGTCTTTATTATGAGAACCCGATATAGCTCCTGGAGGTAAATGCATAAAAGTGTGCCTCCCTCCTGCATGACTGGGTCCCCCAAGAATTTTTCTCTCTCAGGCTTGTTCACATTGAGGCTCCAGCAATTCATCAATTACAGTTCATGTGTTCCTACCCCAGCACTAGTTCCTGTGGAGGTTTCTGCTCCATTAAGTTGTGATTCTTTGTATTCACCTGTCTCTCCAAATTTGGGGGCCGCGGTTTGCCCTGTGACCTCATTTCTCTAAGGCATCTAAGAAGAGTTATTGATTTTCAATTTGTTCAGCTTTTTACCTGTTGTGAGGATGGAGTGTGACTTCTAAGCTCTTTACATGCCAGATCGGAAACTGGAATATCCTCTACCTTTTTAAGAACATGCTTTCAGCTGTCGCCTTTAAAGAAGCATATACTAACAGATTTTCTGAGGCCATCAATGGATAAGCCTTAAAAAATATTTTTTTTAAAAAAGAAGCCACTGATTTATGTTAATATTTGTACTCCTTTCTAATACGGTTGTAAATAAAAAAAATTTAACATCTGTTATGAGTCATGAGGCATAACCACCTCTACTGATTCGGAACATTTTCATTTTCTACCTGCAGCTCCTCTTTTGCACTTTAAAACGATGATATGGATGTAGCCCAGAAGAGGAGTAAAGGCCCTTTTAATTATCCAAATCTACATTTCCTGTTAACTGCTTTTCACTCTGTGTGAGGGTCCCCACATGCAGAGATTTCTGAAGGGAGGAAATTAAACCTTTCTCACTAGGGAAAATTCAGCTCTTAGAAAGTGTTTAATGTTGCTGAAGGTGAACACGGACCTACTGTTATTAATAGGAAAATTGCTAATGATTGTAATGTTTTTCAGCATTACATCAGACTTTCCCTTTGGCAAATCCCTTTGAAAATCAGAGTGGCTGTTGTTACCCCCCGAAACACTTCTATATTGCACTGGGAGATGGTTGTGCAACGTTTCAACATAAAAAGTTCCTTGAACAACAGTTTGGATATTTCTGTTCCAAATGTGTCTCCCTACTGGAAATTTTACATAAGAATGATGTATATTTTGAGGAGAAAAATAACACAATTGTATTCTTTTTTCACTAACTGGAAAAAAGACCAGTATATGACCAGGGTCCATTGGATCCAATTTTAGTTTTGAGTTTCTTTTATGTACATTTTCAACTGCGTGTACAGATTGATATTTTATCATGACTTTCATTGTTATTAGAGGTCTTCAAAAGAAGAAAGAGAAAAATCTTGTAATTATCATCAGGGCTCTTTTGTAAATCTGAAATGCATTATGGAATTTTACTAATCTTTGCTATTTTATCATTACTCATCAGTTTATTCCCAACTATGTTAAAAAGACTAAAACAATTATTTAAATGGTAGAATGATGGAATCACTTAACAAGATGATACAACAGTAACATGTATAATCACTAACCTATTTTTCCTAGTATTGCAAGGGTTAAGATCTCTCTGTATGTGTCTCTGTCTCTCTCTCTCTCTCACACACATGCACCCATACCCCAGAATGTCTTTATTAGCTAAATGTAAAAGAACACTGTTAATAATCTATTATCTACCACACATTGTTTTAGGAGTTTTATTTACATAAATTCTGTTACTTGAATCTCACAATATACCAATAAGGTAATAATTATTACTCCTGGTTTATCAATAAAGAAACTAAGGGTCTGAGAACATATATGGTGTTTTATATCTTACATTGTCTAGTATAGTCACTTACACCATGTAAATGTTCTATGTATTTTAACTCGTAAGTTATATTAATTCGTTCAGGTAAAATGTGTATTTCAGATCCATGTGAGATTTTGAATAAGATACATGTACATTTATTAATTATAAAAAAAATTGAGCACCTACTGCATATAAAACTTGGCCCCTGACTTTAAGGCACATTCTAGTCTTGTAGGGTGCTTTGACATATATAGAAGTAACCATAAGACAAGGAAGAAAGTTCTGTGTCCTGTCATGACTGTGGTTTTGCAACAAAGGTGGTTATTTCTCCTAGTTGGAAGAATTTTCTGTGACAGTGGATGGTCTTATACATTCATCAGTGGGGAGAAAAAGGGTATTCCAGAAGAAGGGATTATTTCAAGCACACAGCTGAACATAGGAAAGAGGACAGTTTACATGTGGCCAACTAATTATAGGCATAAATATAATAACCTGCTTCTCTGGATTTGTATGCTTTATGCCAATAATTTTTTCCTGCAAAATTTGCTTTTAGATAGCAGCATTTATTTACTCTCATATCCATGGATATTTATTCTCTTTGTTTGTTTTAAGTTTTCATTGTGAATTATAGTCCTACATTGATAAATTAAATTTTGGGGTATTTTTAAATGTTAAATGTAACCCTAAAACCTTATTATTAATGTCCATAATTCTCTTCATTTTTCATTACCACAATATTAAGGTTAATAAAACATATGTGTGAATAAAAATTTATGTATAACTCATTTCATTGGAATTCTACATTGAACCCATAAAAAATACAATTTCTTAATTATTATTGCCAATAAGTTTTACTAATTCACACGCACAGTTTTACATATATCAAAATTATATCTTAACATAGTTTTCTACGTGCTATTTGTTTATCATCCTCCTTGCTGAGTGTTGCTTAAGGGTCCTGCATGGAAGCTGCAGACATAAAGATTAAACACTTGCAGTCAGATGGGTCTGGCCCCACTGCATGGCCTCAGGCAGGGTACTTAGCCTTAACTTTCTTAGCTGGGAAATGGACTACATACTTTTTTGCAAGTTTATCATGAGGTTTAAACAAGAGATTGTCTATGTAAGGTCTTTATCCATGTCTGGCATAGAGTAGATGTGCAAGTGGAGATAGCTGGGATTTCATTCCAGGTCCTGTATACTCCAGAGCACATTAGCTGACCAGAACCTGGAATAAGATACACTAGTTGCTAACTTGGAAACATCCAGCCAACCAGTTAGATTTAAGGGAGGAGGCTTGTCAAATAACTATGCGGATCCCTGATATTATTACCTTTGGATTATTTTGTTATACTCAACTTGGAGAAGTTGAGTTTAATAGCATTATGATTAAAAAATCATTGAAAACACATATCACAGCATGAGAAAGTAGAAAATTCTAACTGTATAATGTTGCATTTATTTGAACAGGAGTGTAGGCACTTTTTTGAAACAGCCATACTTTATTATCTTACAGATAAATCCAAAGCAGATGGCAAAGTTGCTGTGGTAGCCAAGAAAAGGGTAAGATCATGTTTCATTATATAAAATATGCAGACTTCAAATTCCATTTGATTAAAGCTATTTTTAAAAGAAAATTGAATTAATATTTAAAAGCAAAATGACATATAATCAGTATTTTCTTCTAAATGTTAGTTGAGTGCATTTTTCCTTTTTTAGGTTAACACTAGAAATTTAATTTTTATGATTACTTATATCAGTGTTACAGACTTATGAGGAATTAGAATGATAGCAATATTTAAAGTTAACAAGTAAGTAATTGCTTTTATTTATATTTCACATACAGGGGTGCCTGGGTGGCTCAGTCAGTTAAGTGTCTGACTTCAGCTCAGGTCATGATCTCACGGTTTGTGGGTTTGCGCCCCACGTCAGGCTCTGTGCTGACAGCTCACAGCCTGGAGCCTGCTTTGGGTTCTGTGTCTCCCTTTCTTTCTGCTTCTCCCCCACTCATGCTCTGTCTCTCTCTGTCTTTCAAAAATAAATAAACATTAAAAAAATTGTTTTTAAAAGTTGTATTTCACAAACATACTCTCCTATACTAAAATATTTTTTGTATACCATGTTATTGGAATGTGTGCAATCTCATGGAAGATTTAAATAATTAAAATTCACAGCTTAATATGGACTTTACCTTGAAGTTGAGAACAGTATCAGCCATTTGTATAAATCTAAACATAGAATCTTTAAATAAAATTTTTTTTTTAATTTTTTAATGTTTACTTTTGAGAGAGAGAGAGAGAGAGAAATGGAGAGAGAGAGATGGAGTGCAAGCAGAGGAGGGGCAGAGAGAGAGACGGAGACACAGAATCTGAAGCAGGCTCTAGGCTCTGAGTTGTCTGCGCAGAGCCCAAGGCAGGGCTGGAACTCACGAACTGTGAGATCATGACCTGAGCTGAAGTTGGACGCTTAACCAACTGAACCACCCTGGCACCCCTAAAGTTTGTGAAGTCAAGAGCATTTTAAAAGAATTCTAACACATCAATTTGTATATGCAGGGAGATGTTTAACTCTACCTATTGTCAAAACTTGATTGGGATAGGATGAACCTTTGACATTCTCCTCAAGTGACAGTATTCTTAACAGGACACTACTGAAAAAAGAGAAAGAGCCAATTCTTAAAACAAATTCTTTTAGACAAATAATATATTGGTGTCATAAAAAGAACTGTGATTGAAAGGAAAGCCTATCCCTGTAGTATTTCCTGGGTTGAATGGTGGTGTTGGTGCAGGGTGGACCCAGGAAAGGTTGAGTGTAACCTGGAAGAACAGAAAAGATTTTGGACACAAACCTATAGATGAACAGGCAAGGAAGTAAGTGTTGTTTTTATATTCTGAGTATGTACATAGGTCATGGGCCTTTTTGAAATCAACTCTTTTGCTTTTTGACTTGTAAAAGTAGTCTGTACTTTTCACTGGCTAAATAATGTTGCTGCACCTTTGCAGAGAGGAAGTCAATATCATAGAAGACAAGGTTGCCTTTTAAAACAGAAAGAAGGGGTGCCTGGGTGGCTCAGTCGGTTGAGCGTCCAACTCTTGATTTTGACGCAGGACGATCTCAGTTTGTGGAATTGAGCCCTACGTCGAGCTCTGTGCTGACAACACAGAGTCTACTTGGGATTCTCTCTCTCCCTTTCTCTCCGCCCTTCCCCTGCCTGCACGGGAGTGCT